GGAAATAGGTTGGATTGGCATTGCCGCATTGTCCACATTATGCACTAGAAGATAGTCCTTGGAGAAGAGAGGTAAAGTTAAAAACTATTCTTTGAAAAGCACTGCATCTAATTGTTCTGGTTTTTGGTGATTCAATTATAGACAATGCATCTGGATTTTCTTTGTCTTGGGTTTGAAGCTTGTGGACCCTTGAAGAGATGAACATGTGTAATGAGTTTCTGAGGTTAATTACTCATGATGTACCAGAGAGATGAGATTATCGCAAAACATATGGGAAAGTCTGTTACGGATGTCGTTTGTTGCTACGAGGCGTGGCTTGAGGTCAATTCTGGTCAGGTTGCTTAGAGTGTGGAGAAGGTTTCCGACTTGACCGTTAAGATCGTTTCCACTTTATTAATAAAAGTTATAGTGGCACAATGAAATTAGAATCGAGTTTGATTTAATATACTGTCAACATTTTGGTATTGTTGTTACATATCCACGTGGTGAAGTTGATGGATTTTACTGTGGTGCTTCTCTAAATTCATTTTGGTATAAAAGGCACCAGAAGCTACGACTCACTTATATGCTGCAACATTTGTAAGATAACAAAATGAAACATCTAAATACATGTATTCATCAAAAGATTGCTTTTCTGAAACTTACAAATTCAGATTGAAGATTTTTTCTTACAATAAGCTTCTTTGGATTCACAGTCATCACCTTGACCGAGAGAATTTGTACTTGATCCATAGAATTTATATCCAAATGGTGTGTGTGTCTTTCTTTGTAAAAAGATTGGTAAGTTTGTATAATAAAGCACGACATTGTGAATGAAAGTAACTATTCTTTTTTTTTTTTTGTCACAATGACTATTCTTATGTTCATAAGACCACCTCCATTGGGAGGTTCTTACAAGAGTTCTAAACACTAGAATATAATATTTAAGTATAAAAAATATCAATAAATAATTATGGGGTTCTAAAAAATAGAGAGAGAAGGTTCTGAAGTATCTTGTTTAAAAAAATTTTGGATAGTGTGTTTCTTAATTTTAAGAAACTCATA